TGGCCCTCCTCTGGACTTGCTCCAACAGCTCCATGTCTCTCTTGTGCTGGGGCCCCCAGAGCTGGGAGCAGTACTCCACGTGGGGTCTCACGACAGCAGAGTAGGGGGGAGAGAATCATCTCCCTTGGCCTGCTGGTCACACTTCTAAAAAGCAACTCATTCTACAAAGTAGTCTTAATTTTCACTTAAGCTATAATCTAGCTTCCAGTTCTACTGCATAAACTTCTACATGGACTTTTGCATAGACTAATGTAACATCTTTACATCTAATAAACATTCTATTTAAGTAAATGGAGTAATTACAGATTCTAGCATATGATTAACATGTTTTCACCTGGGAGAGTTGGTCAATATTTTATACTGAGCCCAACATTTGCATATTTAAATAGTTCCTAAAAGGATAGCAGGTTGCAATGGAGACATTTCAAACTGTATTTTGTACAGTAAAGCACATGATAAGAGCACCAATATTTTCAGGCAGCTGAATAACAGTACAGCTGAATCTTGAACATACAAAACTTACATTTCAATGGGCAAAATCCATACATCTTGTCAACATCATAGTTTGAAGTGGTTCCACACCAGAACCAGCCATCCGATCTGCCAGCATCTGTGCAGTCAGCATACCATTTATCATCAAACTTAAAAGGGAATACACAAGGTGCTCCATTGGCATTTCCTTTCACTGTGTAGGTATCTAAGGAGACACAACAATTTAAAAATGTATAAGCAGTAATAGGTATATCAGTTCAGCTTTGTGATCACATTATAGCAAGCAGAGCTTGACAGCTTAGTATACAAACTGTGATAGAAATGGGACACTGATAATTTTACTCTCTAGGTCTAAGCTGATACTCATGTCCACAATGAGACAAATTTTTATTGCTTAAGGATAATGACCAGAACTGACTGAGCCAAGAAAAGTACATTCCCATGCTAAATTTTACATGCATAACAATCAAAAGTATAAAATCCACACAGTTAAGAAAATTTCTTTTTAAGCACAAACAACTGCTGATTCTTCTGTCAATAACCCACTCCGTTGCCAACTGGTTTAGACAGGGAAGAGCATGAAAGATATATACCACCAAGTGACTCCAATATATTATGCCCAAATAAAATTTCCATTGGCATCTAAAGATAATTTTTGTTTCACCAGAAACCTGAGTCAATAAAAATTATCAAAGTAACTAAAGCAGTTTTCTGTATGTGCACATGTCATGTACTTGCATTGATGGGAGGACATACAGAGGAACACTACTTCACAGGAACTGCTAGAGAGATGACATACCAAGGCCACTGTATCACAGAGCTGCTAGAAAACAAAGGAGGAAGGAATGGCAGGCCATCACTCCATCTTCCCCACTGCCTCCTTTCACATAATTTGCTCAGCTACAGTTCTTTTATTCTGGCTCTAGACCAAGGACTAGTACTGTAATCAGCCTTTGTGTAAACCCTAGAAAATGCGTCCTTACCTCCCCCCGTGCCCATTTCTGTTTATCAAAAAATACTAAATGGGAAGCCAAATGTTTTCCCAGATACTTAGCATAAATATATGTATATATGTATGTATGTATCATACATAACTTTTTCAAATTTAACTATTTAAATTATCCTATTTCTTTGTCTAACACTTCTACACCAACTCAGAGACTCACTTCAAACACCTAGGAAGGCATCTTCAATACGCTGGAGCTGAAGATATAAAGAGTTAATTAAATCCTTTACAGTGTAATTCATATTTGCTTTCCAAAGGAAAAAAAAGAAAGAAAAAAAAAATCAACAGACTATACACATATGCTACATCTTTCTGTACACATGTAAATAGTAAAAGCTATCATTAACTGTTGTGTAATACTGTTCTAAATAACCATAGACTTTTTTCCCTCTCTCCAAATGAATCACTACCATGTATGGTTATTTATCTCTCAGAACACTGACAACTTGACAAAAAAGCAAAATTAACCCCTCAAAAAACATAAACCACACACTAAAGTATTGCTGATTTCACCGGAAGTCACACTCACTGATCATTAATGAGATGAAGGAATTTCTCCTATACTTCTAAATATTTTAATTACATACACATAGAAATGAATTTGAAATATAGAAATTAATTTACAGAACTTTACCTTCATAGCCTCGAGAACACAGATCGTCTGTGGTTCCGTAGACTTTCCACCTACTCCATAAACCAGATCCCTTGTACAGCATAATATTCTTTTCCTGTCTGTTTCCATAGTTGAAAAACAAATCTTCCCCTTGGATTGCAAAGAGAGTCTCATTTCTGCATTCCCATCGCTGAAGTTCACTAGCCTTGTCACAAGGATACAGAGTGATCGGAACCCAGTCTTTCTTCGAAGGCACTCCCAAGCACAATTTGAATGCTATGCTCATAAGCTGGTGATCTGAGACCCACCTGAATTTTTGTGACTCATTTTCTTGAACGCAAGGAGCAGTAGTCACTGAATTAGAACTTTTGGCCAGTACACAGCGCTTGTGATCTTCATTATATATTAAGAAGATGCTAGTATCTGTAAGATAAAAAACCACTGGAATCATTTGGTTTGAAGTATCTTACTTACTATCTAAATGAAATATGAATCTGGACTCTACTCTTGGACACTCTGGACACTAAAATCTCATCATCTGTTCAGCAAAAGAAGATGCAGTACTCCAGTGGCATACACCCGCTAAAGTGACTGTAGAATGCAACTAGTTCAGATGTGAGGACATTTCAACGGTTTTGCATCAGTGAAAGCATCTACACTCAAAAGCGCAAGGCGGCAGAGATGCAGATCTAGTGTCTCCTGTAGCTTTAAAGCATGAGTTAAACAGAAGAGAAAAAACACGTTCATGGTATTATTCCAAGCTGCACCCCTGGGAGTTACTGAAACAAGGGGGCACGCACACGGTACACTGCAGATCCTGACACTGAGCACTCCAGCAGCACTTCTTGATCCTGGCTCCCAGGCGTGAGGAGATGACAAGAGCCATTAAGCTCTTCAGGCTCTGTTTCCCCACAGTGGGGAGTTCTGTTCCCATAAGGTCTGCTAAAATCCTTAAAGTCTTAACTGAAAGATATTTTTTTAGGCTTTATACACAAGCTACTTGTAGAGCTAAAACAGAATATTCATTTTTCACTCAACTGCAGTAATCAGTGATTTTTTTTCTCCTTTCTTATATTTCTCCATTATGAATGAAATACTGACCACAGTGGCATTAGCCATTATCAGGTATGCCTCTTAACAACTTATGAAAATCTACGACGTTCTTCATAGCTCCCAAAGTTATTTCTCCCTCTAAGTAAATAGTGCTTCACAGCATGCATTTTCATATATTCAAGGCTTATTTCAAAACTGTAACCACTAGAAAGTTTTTAGCATCTCTTACACTTGCATGTACTATGGAGTGCAGAATTTCTGAGTTGGTCTTGCCCAAAGACCGAGAATTTCTCTTCTCTGATCCCCTTGAGATACATTTTAGCATGGTAACTTAAGAGTTTTCTCTGATATTGGATCGCATAATGTAACAGGATGCACAAGGTCTTAAAACTGTATTTTAACTGGGCTACAAGCTAGGAAAGAGAAATACTAATTTATGTGACCCTGGGCATTGAAGCTAATTAAAACATTATTTATTTTAGTGAATGATTACCAAATTAAACAAAATCTATAATGGAGAAATATTTAAGGGGAAAACAGTTTAACCACAGAAAATATTCCGTTCTCTGCTGAGGCTCTAATATGGAAGTGATCATACTTTTCTGCAGAAGAACAACCTGGGAACAAATAACCTCTCTCTCAGAGAAAGAGCTGACCTAGACTTATCTCATCCATGGTTCAGTTTCCTTCTCCTGTCCTTTGGCTTCCAACTCACTGGGAAGTAGTGTAAAACTGATGAGCACTGGAGTTAGAAATTGTTGCCTTTTGCCAATCTGTTTTACTCACAGACAATACAAGGAAATGTATAATTATCACTGATGGTGATAACTTCTTTTTATTCTGCTTTTCTACTAGCATTTAGCACAATGTTATTGTAAACTGATACATGCAATGCTTGCAACTCTCCTTTTCCTGAAATCTTAGTTAAAGTTTCTGGGTAAGAGATGTCAGACGTTTTCACATGTGTGGAAAACACTGCCTGATCTTTCAAACTGCTAAAATTGTATTTGTGGCCTAAAATAACATTCCTTATTTTATGCAGCTTATGGTATTAAAGAGAGGATGCTATACAAGTGTAAAAGGTACCCCAGAATCAAAAGCCTGGATTGCTACATCCAAGCCTGAAAGGGTGCAGAGTTTGGGCTTCAGAAACAAGGTTAGAAAGCTGAACAAAGAGGTCTGGCCAAGGGGGAGGGGGAAAAAAAAAAAAAAAAAATCTTTGGTCCTCTGCTTTTCTGACTGCATCTTTACAAAGCATTAGCAGTGTGTAAATACAACACGAGCCCCAGTACATGCAGGGTTCTGACAGGGAATAATACATAGGTAAGCAGCTAAAGAGCCACCATGCCAAGCAGGCACTGAAAATAAGTTGACACCAAACAGGAGGACAGAATAGGAGGTAGCAGGACACAGGAGCAACTGTGGCAGAGACTGTAGTTGCAGGATTTCCTTCCCCTCAGAGTTGCTCCTGTCTCATCCATGGCCATACATCAGACTTGTAGCATGGTCCTGTGTTGCTTTAGTTTATAGTTTTATCTCTGTGTTTGTTCTGCCCACTTGGACACCAAAGAGGATTCCCACACAACACTTTCATGACAGGATACATGAAACAAGCCAGATATTTGTGCAATGTTTTCTATGCCCTGCCAACTCTTCTCTGTAAATTCTTGATACCGCTCCTGTCAACATGATGAGTTGTATCTGTAAAATGGGCTGAGCAGAATTACTCATATAAAACTGTGTTTCACTGTTCTGTAGGTAGCAGCATTTGTTATAGAGCTGCCATAACAGGGTGCCATTCTTCACTATAGATGAGCTGTAGGTGGTACACTTAAAGGTCCACCACAGCATGATCATGAGTACCACAGTCTTGGTACTTTGAATTACATCAATTTCTAACAGACTAATCCATATTTTGAAAATTACTCCTGGAAGGAGGTTCTTTAAAACGCATAGGAACGTGCCAGGCATAGGAACCAACTTCGGCCAATACGGCTGGCCCCGTATCTTTTCCACGGTAGAGATCTCCAGTATGCCAACGTAACTTCACACTCTGCAGCATTTGCAAACTCTCACAGATTGTGCAAGTGTAAATCAAGAAGTAACTCATGAAGCCGGTGAAGTGCTACCAGTGTTAAACAGTAACAGAGAGCACCAGGAGAGCACATCAAAGCCAGAAGTGAGAGATGGGGAAGCAATAAGGCAGGAAGCAGGTAGGAGGACTTCTCCATGCGCACTCTCACTTACCAAATAGCCTACAATGATTGCTGCTAATTACACAAAGCAAGAAAGGTTACATGGCAGTGTTATGAAGTCGCGCTTCAGTAGACCTCAAACTGGAGAGCCGAGAATGCTGCGAGACTTTCAGGCAGGGCAGATGCAAAACTTTCACTGAAAGATAGCAGTGCACTGGAAGTCACAGTAATTCTCAGCACAAGACAGTGCAAGCTCCAGGTTTCACCAAGAAACACAGCTTTCCTCTGTTTTCACAGCTCTATTCCATGCCAATACCTCAACTACCTTAACACACACACACCCCCTGCCCCCACCCAAAGCCATCTGCCAAAAGCAGGTCCCCAGGCCCATTGAAGATCAGAGACTGGTGGAAAGGCAGAGTCCCAACACCAGGTCCTTCTGCAGACCTTGGCAGTGAGGGGACAGCTGAGGGAAAGCTGAGTGACAGCATTAAATCCATCTGAACCCCCGACGCAGTGGGGGAAACTGAGGCGCTGCCGGTGACAGCCCTGTTTGGTGCCCACAATGCCATGGGCACCCAAAAGGCTGCCTCATCAGGCAGCTTCGCTCACTGGGCACCTCAGGGTGCCGGCGAGGAGGAGGAGGGTGTTGGGGCAGCCGGCCAAGGGAGGGCCCGAGGGGAGGCTACTCTCCCTCGGCCGGCCGCCCTGCCGCATTGGAGGTTCCCCTCAGGCAGCACCGAAAGGGTTAAACTGGCCGAGGGCTTCTCCACCTGCGCCGGTGTTCCCTCCCCAGCTCAAGTCCAGGTCAGGCTGGGCTTGGTGTCCGCTGTCACCCCGCTCTTTTCCCGGCACGTCCCATCCCGCACGGTCCCTGCGGGCACTTACCCAGCAGCGGAAAAACCCGGGGAAGAAGTGCGAGGAGAAGCAGGAACAGAGAGGGAGCCATCGCCGCGGCTTCGCCCCTGGCGCCCCGCCGCTGTGAGGAGAGGGCTTCCCGCCGGGCAGGTCCTCCGCACTTGTGAAGGGCTGGTGGATCAGGGGAAAGCTCTGGGCTCGAAATGATAAGGAAATATCCTGTCACATGGGGCGTTTTGAAATAACAGGAATTCGCTGTTCAAACTTTGCTTTCCTAAGCTGATTTTTTTTTTTCCCTCAGCGGAGGGAAGAGCCTCCTTCCAGGCACATGCAGGTGATAAAGTGATGATAGCTGAGAAGAGGGCTGGCTGAGGGGTTTTTTTTTATTGTTGTTGTGGTGGTTCTTATTTTTATCCACTTTGAGTCCCTGTCAGCTTTGCATGTGGGTCAGCGGTTGGTTTTTGAAGAAAATGAGCCAAACCCGCACCGAGGGAGCAGGACATCCCCCTCCTCTGTTTCGGAGGCGAACCCAAAGCTCAAACAAAACCCCCGCTCAAACGACCGGGTTTCTCCCGAGAGCAGGGACTGCAGAAGTAGCAGAGACCTACTTTTG